TATTATGTGGACCTATTCTATAAATACCTTTAAGTCTACTTACCTTTTGTTTAATATCTAAACTTAGAGGTGTTATTAACAATAAAGGAAATAATAAATATAAATTATACATTTGAGGCTTAATTAAGAAACCTCATAGTGACATCTGCCCGTAGGGCAGCACATACAAACTTACTTATTATAAGAAAGAAGTATTTAATCTTGTTATCAAATATCAGGCTAAACAGAAGATTCAAATTTATATCTTCCTTTATAAAGCTTATCAGTATCTATTTTTTTAGATATGACGGAAGAAACATTAATATTACCCAGAGCTAAAGCTGCTTGAGTATAAGAAGAGAAAGGAGAACCTTCTACTAATTTACCATAATCGTAAACATTCACACCAAAGCCTGAATGACCTTTTTTTGATACTTTAACAATATCGGATAAAGCTTTATAAGATAACCCTGAAGATAAATCAAATACAGGGGGATTGTTTAATATTTCATTAATTTTGTTTAAATTTGGAGCTTCTGCTACCAGAGCGTTAGTTGTATATCGTTTATTAATATATTTATTTATTTCAATGAAACATTTTTTACCTTCAGGGTTTGTTGTATGTCCTAAAGCTTTAAGTTTTACTGCTAATTCTCATAATTGGAAATCTACACCTTTTCTAGATATAAATCTTAATGATTTAAAAAAAGGTAAAATATAATTATAAAGTTGAAAAGTATTAGTAACACTTAAAATACATGCATCAGGACTATCTTTAAAAACTCCAGGAGTAGGTTTAGTGTACAATTTATCGATTTTAGGCCCTATTTCAGGACAATATGGTAACTTAATTAAAAATTCAGCAATCTCATAAAAAAAGTGTATGTTCTTAAAGTGCTGTTTAAGTGAAAAAGTAGGAATCATATTAGATATACAGAATGTACCGTCCCCTTCTACAAACCCTAAAAGTCTAGAAGGAGTTAAAGATCTCTTAGGAAGATCACTAATATTAAATTGCAATCTTTTACTATTCATACCCGATTTTATTTTTAATATTTTGTTTAATTCCTCTTCATTTAATTTTCTTTTTTCCATATAAGATGCTTTTCTTATTTCAACTGCTGCCTTAAAATCCTGGAAATCTAAAAATTTAGAAGTTGTAAAATAATATTTTGAAAATATAGGAATAAGTATTTCTAGTATATCTTGATATTTGGCTATTGTATAATAAGATTCATGATGGTTTTTTGAATCTACAATAACACCTACCTCTCGGTTTACCAATCCGCTTAATAAATTTCTTATGTGTTCTAAAGTTTGTCTATCATCTCAATGTAATTTTATTTTGAAAGATAAAGCCCCTGTAGTGGATATAAAAAACATGGATTCTGCCTCTGAAAATCCACATAATCACTCTAATTCACATTCTCTTTTTTTTAATCAAGTTTCTTCCGACTGGTTAATTGCAATATTTCGTTTTTGTAAGGCTACATTGTTGTAACCCTTTCTACTTAAACCTTCACAATTTCACCTTTTACTAAAAAATACAAACATGAGCTCAATGCCTTCATGATAACAGTCAGGTAACGCGTACAAACTTATTTATTATTAAAAAGTATAATAAGCTAGAATAACTTTTAATTCGTATATTCTATTAGTTAAATATTTTTTAAAAGCTCCGACTGTGCATTAAGCAGCAT